AGGTATAGAATCATATTGTCAGCAAATAGTGGTAATTTAAGTTCTTCTTTTCCTATACATATTCCTTTGATTTTTTTCGTCTAATTGCTCTGGCCAGTGTTTCAAGAATTATGTTGAATAGAAGTGGTGAAAGAGGGCATCCCTATCTTGTTCCAAATTTTAGAGGGAATGCCTTTATTTTTTCTCTGTTTAGAATGATGTTGGCTTGAGGCTTAGCGTAGATAGCCTTTATGTTGAGATATGTTCCTGTTATCCCTAGTTTTTCTAGTGTTTTGAACATAAAGGGGTGTTGTATTTTGTCAAGTGCTTTTTCTGAATCTATTGAGATGATCATATGATTCTTATCTTTAAGTCTATTGATGTGATGAATTACATTTATTGATTTCCATATGTTGAACTAACCTTGCATCCCTGGGATGAATCCCACTTGATCATGGTGCACAATCTTTTTGATATGTTTTTGTATTTGATTTGCCAGAATTTTATTGAGAATTTTTGCATCTATGTTTATTAGAGATATTGGTCTAGAATTTTCTTTCCTTGATGTGTCTTTGCCTGGTTTTGGAATCAGGGTGATATTGTCTTCATAGAATGATTTTGGAATTACTGCCTTTCTTTTTTTATATTTTCTGAAATAAATTGAAGCGTATTGATATTAGTTCTTCTTTAAAGTTCTTTCAGAGCTTGATGTATGTTGTTCCAGGATCTTCTAGCTTTTAGGGTCTGTGTTGAAAAATCTACCGTTATCCTAATTGGTTTTCCCTGTATGTAATCTGATTCCTTTCTCTTGTGGCTTTTAAAATTCTCTCCTTTTTCTGTATGTTGGGCATTTTCATTATAATGTKCCTTGGTGTGRATCTGTTGTGATTTTTGTACATTTGGCGTCCTGTAGGCTTCTTGAATTTGGATTTCCAATTCATTCTTCATGTTTGGAAAGTTTTCTGATATTATGTCCTTGAATAGATTGTTCATTCCTTTTGGTTTGGACCTCTATGCCTTCCTCTATCCCATTAACTCTTAAATTTGGTCTTTTTATGCTATCCCATATTTCTTGAATGTTCTGTTCATGGTTTCTTATCATTTTCACTGTATGGTCTTTATTCTTTTCAAGATGATTTATTTTATCTTCATTGTCTGATATCCTACCTTCTAAGTGGCCCACTCTGTTGGTGATGCTTTCCTTTGAGTTTTTAATTTATTATTTCTTTCATTTCAAGGATTTCTGTTTGGGTTTTTTTTTTTTTTTAAGAACCTCTGTCTCTCTGTTGAGGTGATCTTTTGCTTCTTGGATTTGTTTCTGTAGCTTATTGTGGAAGTGATCTTTCACTGCCTGTATTTGTTCTCTTATGCCTTCTTTGAGATCCCAAAACATTTTAACCATGTATATCCTGAAATCTTTCTCTGTAATTTTTTTCTGCTCTAGCTGACAATACTTCTAATGATGTATCTTCTTGATTTGTTTGTGTTACTTTCTTCCCTTGTCTTTTCATGTTGCTCATGTGTCTTCCTTTTCAGCTCTGTGGATCTGGTGTGTTATTGTTTTTACCCTATAGATTTGTAGTGCTCTTGTAGAGTTCCAAGATCTTTCTTTTGTGGGGAAGAACAATGTTAACGGATCCCAATATCAATAATACATCACGTGTGAACAAATTGTTGTTATTAAGACATTTACAGTTTAGTCTCAATGTCCAGAAATGTTGGATTCAATTATTATTTAAAATATAATCAGTAGTGAAAATAGTAAAATTTGGACGGTGAAGGAAGAAGAAAGAGTAAAACAAAAAAGGGAAAGAAAGAAAAAGGAAAAGGAAAAAAGAGCTTATGCAATTCCTCTGTATTATATTATTCAGGTGACTCAGTCCTCAAAGTCCTATTTCATGCAAAGTTCTTGGTTTTACATATGTTGGGGATGTGAGGGCCAGAGGATAGAAGGGTAGAAGAGACAGAAGAAGAAGGGAAAAAAAATACTCTTAGAGATCCATTTCTTTCTCTTCTCATCTAGTAGGTGGGGTTGTCTCATCTAGTAGGTGTCTCTGCCCTCAGGATGGTGTAGGTAATCAGGGTGTGAAGACTGGACCTGGTGTAGAGCCTCTGGAGGTGGGGAGTTCTGTCCACCAGTCGCAACAGGAAAATTGCACCTCATGGGTCTTTTTTTGTGGCCAATCATCTGACTTGTGCCCTTGATACCGTCTCCTTCTCTTGCCTGTAGTTTTCCCAGATCCTGGTCCCTCTATTATGCTCCAGACTTTAGTCCCTTCCCCTCTTTTACTTATCAGGTCCCAACTACGGGACCTGTCACCCCGAGGCTCACACCAGGTGGGTGGCGCCCTGTTCACACTGCACTCCGGTCCAACTGAGAGCTATTTTTGTGTTGGGTGGTCACTGTGATGAGTTACCACTGCTTGGAGAGGGGACTGGTATTCAGATACCTGCTCAGGTGGTGACCCAATCTGATAGCCACGCCCACCACAAAATGACGATGAAGGTTTTCCAAGATGGAATCGGTCTGCTTCCAGTGCTGGGGTGTCTGATGWTGTGGAGGAAGTTGGGGGATGGCCTTGTGCTGTGGATAGGTAGCAGCCATGTGACCTGCGTGGGGAGAGGAACGCAGCCTGGAGTTCTGCAGAGGTGCAGGATGGGTGGTTCTGCTAAGCCACTTGTGAGCCGTGGGTGAGCTAGAATTGTGGGCTTTGGGTCCAGAGTCTAGAGACTTACTCAAGTACTGAGGCTCTGATTTCTGTGCGGGTGGTCGAAGCACTGATGATTTCTGCAAAAATTCGCTGTATAGGGGTCCTCTCACACTGTTGATGTTGTATTCCGTCTAGGCGAGACCTTGTGGAGAAGCTGCCTGTCTGCTTTCTTGGTTTCATGCCACAGAGCAGTCAGTAACAGGACCTCCTCTATTCCACCATCTTGGATCTCCCCTGTTACTTGTATTCTTGATTGTTGCCTTGCTGAATAGAGTAAGATGAAATCTCAGTGTACTTTTGATTTGCATTTCTCTAATTGCTAGTGATATTGAACATTTTTTCATATACTTGTTGACCATTCGAATTTCTTCTGTGAAGTGCCTGTTCAGTTCCTTTGCCTATGTATTGATTGGGTTATTTTATTTATTTATTTATTTATTTATTTATTTGGAGGAGTACTTTTTAGTTCTTTGTATGTCCTGGAGATTAAAGCTCTATCAGAGGTGCAGATGGCGAAGATTTTCTTCCATTCTGTAGGCTCTCTCTTCACTGTCTTTATTGTTTCCTTTGCTGTGAAGAAGCCTTTTAGATTGATACCATCCCATTTGTTGATTCTTGATTTTCCTTCTTGTACTTTAGGAGTCTTGTTGAGGAAGTCGGTTCCTAAGCTGACATGATAAAGATTTGGCCTACATTTTCTTCTAGTAGGTGCAAGGTCTCTGGTCTAGGTCTTTGATCCTCAGTGGCCTTAATTAAATTAAAGGTGGCTCCCCGCTACACACACACACACACACACACACACACACGGACCTCCCACCCTACTGAGATTCCTGGCCTTTCTGGTTTATTCCTAGATACTTTATATATATATATATATATATATAATTTTCATTACATTTTTACATTATATTTAAAGTTCACGTTAAATTTTTTACTCTGAGGTAATTGTAGATTTCCATGCAGTGTAGGAAATAATAGAGAAAGATAGCATGTACTGTTCACCCAGTTTCCCCCAGTGATAACATCCTGCAAAAGTAGAGTATCACAGACAGAACACTGACGTTGATACAGAAAGGTTCCATCCTGCAAGGATTCCTCCTGTTGTCCTTTTACAGCCACGCTTACTCCTCTCCCACTTGACTCCTCAATTCCTACAAAGTACTACTCTGTTCTCTGTGACTACAACTTTGTTATTTCAAGAAGCTTATATAAGTAATATTTAGTTCATAAAAGTTTGGCCTTTTTTACTCGATGTAATTTTCTGGAGAGTAATCCAGGTTATTGGCTACATCACTAGTTCATTGCTTTCTATTGCTGAGTAGTATTCCATGGTATGGTTGTACCAGTTTACTTAACCATTTACTTGCTGAGTTATATCTGGGTTATTTCTACATTTTGGCTTTTACTTAAAAGTTTCTATAAACCTTTGTACACAGGTTTTGTGTGAATGTAAGTTTTAATTTTCTGGGATAAATATGCAGCAGTGCACTTGCTGGATTGTAAGGTAGTAGTGGTAGTTTGGGATTGTTGTTGTTTGGGTTTTTTTTTTTTCTCCTACATTTATCAGTGTGGTTTTACCAATTTTTATTACCATGAGCAGTGCAAGTCATCCACTCTTTGTGCATCCTTGTCAGATTTTTGTGTTATCACTATGTTTTTATTTTAGTCCTTTTGATAGGTGTGTAGAGATATAATTCTGTGGAGGACACTTAGCAGTATTTAGTAAAGCTACAAATATACAAACGCTTTGACCTGGCAGTTGCACATTGGAATTGATCCATACGGGTGCACTAGCACAGATGTGAAATGACTTTATAAGATCAAAAGAGTAAAAGTTCATATGTACGGTTACATAAATTTATGATAAATCCACATCATGGGTACCATGCAGCTCTAAGAATGAACAAGGTATTTATGTACTGTTTATAGAAAGAGTTCTAAGAACTCTTCATTTTAAAAAAGCAAGATTCAGGAGCTAGGGATTTAGCTCATGGTCGAGCATATTGCACAAGGTCCCCAGCCCTGAAAAAAATAGCAAAGTTCAGCAAATGTAGATTGGGAGGAAAATATACATATATTTGCATTGGACAGTTACCCACAAGATTGACAACATCGGTAATTATAAGAAGAGGAAAATAGAAGTAAAAGGGATATTTCCCCCATATTTTTTTAACTTTCAGTTTTGAGCTACTTGAATTACATTGCCTATTTAAATGTTTTCAACAGAAAACTTTAATAATAATAAAACAAAAATGAAATCTATCTAAAAATTTTCAAACTAGAAAATTGTACATTTCTTTTCTTTTACAGCAATTTGAGATTTTTGATGATTGCTTTAGCATATGCTATCCCACTTGGTGTATTTGCTGGCTGGTCTGGAGTTCTGGATTTAATTTTAACGCCAGTGCATGTCAGCCAAGTAAGTAATTTATTTTTTTATATGTAATAGGTACTTTAGTTCATTTAATTTATTAATACTGATTACATGTTCTTGGTTTTAGCTTGAAAGACTGAGTAAAATATTGTCCTAAATCACTGTTGCAAAATCAAGATTCTTGTGAAACAGTTTAAAACTTGATTTTGATAACAGCCATGAATTTTACATTTTTGGATGAAATTAATGATGTAATAAACAGAAATCTTTGTTGACCTCTTCATTAATCCTTGCTTTATACTTCATAGAGGAGACTATTCTTAAAGAAAATTATGGGGCTGGGGTTGTAGCTCAGGGGTAGACTGCTTGCCTAGCACTTGTGGGGCACTGGGTTCAATCATTAGCACCACATGAAAATATACATAAATTCATAAAGTTATGTATTGTGTATTGGAATATATGTGTGTGTGTGTTGCTAGGGATTGAATCACTTTCTGTGTTCTATGATTTTTGACTGAGTGCTAAACATAGCATATGAAAAGGTGTAAAAGAACTTAACCTTCAAGATGATGTTATTTTCTTCCAAAGAGAATTTGTGAGGTATTTTTTTCTGATACAAATCACCTTAATCTAGTTTCAGTGATTGAGATCATTTAAGGCAAGGCTTTGGTCCCTCAGAGTGATCTTTTTCCAGTGCCCCTTACTCTTTGAAAATGGTCCTTCAGAGTGCCTGGTTGAAGTCTGTCATTGTTACAAGGCTACCTTACCTCAAGCAGGTCCCAAATTCATATTTTTTTTAGGTCAATGAGGCTTATAATAATTTTTCACTCCCTCAGCCTCATTTTCTTCTTTTTAAAWTTTTTTTTTAATTTTAATTTGTTATATATGTCAATAGAATGCATTACAATTCATATTACACATATAGTGCACAATTTTTCATGTCTCTGGTTGTACACAAAGTAGAGTCACATCCTTCATGTCTTCATACATGTACTTAGGGTAATAATGACCATCGCATTCTACCATCTTTCCTACCCCTGTGCCCCCTCCCTTCCCCTCCCTCCCCCTTTCCCCTTTGCCCTATCTAGAGTTCTTAGCCACATTTTCTGGAATCAGGAGACACCTGTAAATGGAAATTGTCTCCAAATACTAGGCATGTCTTTCTGGCTTTCCTTCCCATCCTAGATCATGTTTTCATAATTCTGGATTACCCTGTGGAATCTCTCTTCAGATAGATTTTCCACCATATTTTTTAGTTCTCAGCCAGAATACTAATTCAAGTCACTACTGTACTTTTGTTAGTCCATCCAGGCCTTAGACTGGGTAATTTATAACAAGAGAAACTTATTTCTCCCTGATCTGGAAGCTGGGAAGTCCACAATCAAGGCATCAGCAGATTTGGTATATGAAAAGAGATGGCCCTCTGCCTCAAGCTGGAGCAGAAGGGGACAAGGCATTACCCTTTGACCTCTTTTATAAAGGGAACTAATTCTGTCCATGGAGGAAGAGTTCTCAGGACTTGATCATCTTCTAAATGCCGCAGTCTGGCTGGGCACAAGATCACGAGCCACTCATAGCTTTGTAGATTCAAACAGCAATTCTTTATTCCCAAACTCACACCGGCCTCTACACATGTTCTGGGCCCAAATTCACGTACTCCACCAGGCTTTGAATCCCAAATACTTTCTGAATCCCACTAGAACTCAACCGGAACTCGGGCAGCAGGATATGCCCTATTCCCAGCAGGAATAACCTTAAACCTGGAACCGCCCTAAACCCAGATTGTCCTAAACCAGAACGCCCTAAACCCAAGGAGCAGGATACTCCCTAAAACCTGCAGGATACACCCTAAATCTGGATCCGCCCTAATCCAGTAGGATCCTCCCTAAACCCGGATCCACCCTGGTCCTTGAGCAGGGTCACCTTTCTCAAACATACATTCAATGTCACTTCAAATGTCCATTTCCACGAGTCCTTCCTCTAAGCAACATGGGGTACGCTGGCAAGGAAATTTCAATGCGTCATTCCTACTTGGCAATGGCTCTCAGCACACCTCTTAATATTAAGACATTGATGACATTGGAAGTAAGTTCTAACGCATGAATTTTAGGACACCAATGTTCAGAACGTAGTGGTATTTTTACCATAAAAGAAATGCTTTCTCTTAGTTTTCTAACCTGTTTTTCTGGACAGCAGGTATTCCAAGCATGCTCAGTTCCGATAAGGAAAAGTATAGTACCTGTTTAAATGGTGCTAATTTTGCATGTCTGTGCTTTGTATTGTAAACCCTAGGAAGCCCTTTCAGGAATCTTTCGCTATACAAACACTGCCAGATACAGAGACCTTGAATTAAAGGTATTAAGGCAAAATTTTAATTAAAGCAAAGAAAAATTTTAATTATAAAATAGAATTTTATTAACCAGGATATCATGAAGAAAGGAGGCAAAATGCACAAACTGGCCTGAAAGGCCAAGCAGCAGAACCACCAGCTCACAGAGGTTCTTAGCCAGGCACAAGACCTCACTCACCTAAAGAACAAGTGGGAATGTCTGTAGGGGCCTAATAGCATTAAGTAAACCTTAGACAATGGATATTAAATGCCCGGACATGAGAGGGGTAGTCCTGCAGAGCCAAGAGTCCTCCTGCCCCAAATGCCAGTAGTATAAAAAATTCATGGTAATATAAGTTTCAGGATATCATCTTTCTCCAAAGCATTGTTTGCTTCTGGTGGCAAACACTGTGAATAAACTTCTGTGAAGCTCTCGTATTCCTTAGAGTAGACTAAGCTGCTGTTCTCCCCATATTTTGAGACTTCATGAGAAGTTTCTCTTTCACATAGAATCTAGGACAGCATGCACAATGATCTAGGAACATTGGCCAAAGTTGGGACAATTCTTTTCCTAGTGCTGATATAGAGACTTGGATATTGCTTCTGTCCCCCAGGACCTTGTCATTATATGCATGTGTGCTTCTGGGTGACCACATTCAGACTGTAGTGGTGAGAAAGGAAAGAAAGCATGGAGGAAATATATAGCTGTCTTCAGGTTCTATTCTAACCTGTAGGTGGCATACCCCACTTCTGCTCACTTCCATCAATGAGAACTTAGTCACATGGTCACATGTACCAGACAGGAGTGGACACATATAATTTAGCCAAGTACCCAGATAGAAGAAGATAACATTTGAAAGATAGCTGGCAAACCCTGATACCAGTGTATGATTCAAAGTAATAAAAGATAAAAATTAGTTTGGACAACTCTCAAGTGCCAGGTCAAGTTTGAACTTTGTCCTGTAGCCAGAAGGACAGCTGGGGTAACTATCCCGGCAGTAGTGGGCAAAATAAATTGTGAAGACCATTTCAGAAGTTTTTATAGGAATATGGAAATGAGAAACAAGATACTAAGCAAGTATGTTGGCCCTGGGAAGGGAAAAGAGGAGAAACAAATGCAACAATGTTAAAAGACACAAACAGCAACTAACATGTATTGAACACTTTACATTTACTAACTGATCTGACTCTTAATAAGTGTATGTGGTGTGTGTGTGTGTGTGTGTGTGTGTGTGTGTGTGTTTTAATCCCCATTCTACTAGTATGGAAATTGAGGCTTAGAGTATGTCTGGGGGCAGAAGGCAAGTCATAATAGGAGTTACAGTTATATTTTATCTAAAGAAATTATAAAGTCAGCATACTTTAGCAATACATATATACTTGTGTTTTTGGCAATGACCAAGTTATGGAGCCACAATGGAGTTTTGCTCAGCCATAAAGAATGAAATTGTATAATTTACAAGAAAATGGATGGAACTTGAGGGCATTATGTTAAATAAAATAAGCCAGACTTAGAAAGTCAAGGAGTCATATGTCTTTTTTCTTATGTGGAATTTAGAGAAAAGAAAGGAAAAAAGCAAAGGATCAAGGATCTCATGAAATTAGAAGGGAGACCAGTAGAGTAGGAGAGGGTGTTCTGGTCAGCTTTTGCATCACTCTTACCGACATACCTAACAAGAGCAGTGAAGAGGAGGAAACGGTTTATTTTGGCTCACAGTTTCAGAGGTTTAATCCATGTTAGGCTGACTCTACAGCTGTAGGCCCAAGGTGAGGCAGAACATCATGGTGGAAAGGTGTGAAGGAGGAAAGCAGCTCAGGATGGCAACCAAGAAGCAGAGGGAGAGCTCCACTCACCAGGGACAAAATATAAACACCAAAGTCACACTCCCAATGACCTACTTACTCCAGCCACACCTTACCTGCCAACAGCTACTGCCCACTTAATCCATCAGTGGATTAATACACCGATTAGGTTGTACCTCTCATAATCTAACCATTTTACCCCTGAAAATTCTTACATTATCTCACACATGAGATTTTGGGGGACACCTCAACTAAACCATATAACAGAAGAGGGTAAGGGGGAGGGAAAGAAGGGAGGTGAAAGGGAGATACTAGGAAATGAAATTATTTATCCCACTAATATGCATAATTGTCATTCACCAATTTAAATTAATTTTTTAAAAGAGTTAAAGTACATGAGTGATGAGGAAATGTAGCAGGATTTGTAGATTGCCCTGAAAGAGTGTGGCCATGAAAAATATCAGATAAATAGAGAAGCATCATTGGGCAATAACAACAGTCGACATTTATTGAGTACTTCCTGTGTGCTGGCCATTGACCTTAGTCCTGTATACTCATTATCTCACTGCATCCATTTTATAAGTAAGAAGACATAATTTGCCCAGAATGACAAAGCTAGTAAATGGCAGGGATGGAAAATGTTTAGTCAAGGGAAGAATATTCTTTACACTTGAACCCAACTCGGCTTCTCTTTCTCTCTCCACTTTCTTGCTCAGCCACATATTTCTCCCTCCCTCCCTCCTTCTCTTTCAGTACATTTTTAGATATTGCCAAACATTTTAGCCCCTAATTATTCCTAGTAGTTTCATGTATGCTGGTGATATTTAAACTTTTTTTTTTTTAACTCAGTGATCATTTCCTCTCCTTTTCCCATTGTCTTAAGCATTCCTAGTACAATGAAGAACATAATGGAAAATATATTTAATGACATTGATTACTTGGTTGCTTTAAACATTCCAATAAAAAATTAATCAAGGACATACTTACATTAGTTTGTGTTAATCAGCTACATGTGAATCCTTTCATTTTGTCCATTTTCTTAAATGATATTTCCCAGATCTGTTGCCAATTGGCTGTTAACACATTGTTCATAAAGGTTTTCTTTTTCATTTTCTAAATTGCAACATGAAAGTCTTGCCTGAAATGTGTCTGCTGCTTGATTAACAGGTAGATGCTGGCTGGATTGGATTTTGGTCCATAGTTGGAGGCTGTGTTGTTGGAATAGCTATGGCAAGGTAAGAATATTTTATATCAAATTTGAGTGGACAGAAGAGCAGGAAAAGCCCAAAGAGAAATAGGGTCTCCTAAAGAAACATTAAAACTCAGGAGAAAGTAGAACTGGCAAAGGTTGGAAAAGGGCACTTGTTTAGGCTATAAGAAATTCACTTGAATGAATAGAATTTACTGCTACAGGAATCCTTCTCAGGTGTGGTTCTTCCTAAAATGTTTTTTGCAGATCAGAAATTTATTTCCAGTGTAATTAAGCTGTCTCTCTCCATATTGTTAGAGAGAAACATCTCCATGAAACCCAAAGAAAGGTAAATCAATAGTTAACAAGAATAAGAAAGAATCGAATAATTTATAAGAGCATCTCTAGAACTTTTTATAAGAAGGCAATCTCCCAGTAGCAGATATGTTTTTCTGTTTTTTTATGCCAGGTATGTCCCTATGGGATTTTTGATGAAAAATGTTCATGTAGGTTTCCAGTTTCATCAAACTCCTTTTGATCTTAACCTATTATGACAACACATTTTTAGAATGAATCAGAAGAAGGAAAAGTGTCTGTTTCATTTATTCTAAAAAAGAAAAGAATGGAAATGTCACTCTTAGGTTGCTACCTATAAAACTACTCTTGGTGTTTCCAAAGAGAGAGTATTCCTTCAACTCCCAAGTCATTTAAAAATTAGACAATCAACTTTGCCAGGAAGAAGAGAATCTAATTACATATTTGAGATAATCAAATAAAATGTGTAAATCACCTCAGTAACTAAATACTTAAACATAATTGACACAGATAATATATCTAGACCTTACAGTTTGCATAGTGTTTCTGGGATAATGAAAGAATAAATTGATACCATAACTCCTAAATTTTCTTTATTTGAGGCTTGTATAAGCTAGGAAATTATAAGAATAAAATCTAAAGGCTAAAGAAACAGGATAGAAAGTATTATTTTTAGGAAATCACTGGTAATAAAAAACATTGACCTGCACATTTTGACAAGAGTCATACCTAATTTTTCTAATTAAATCTCTAAGTAGATTATAGTGAATTTTCATTAATCAAATCCTATTCTGAGCACCAAATAGGTCAAAGAGGGAATAAGAAATGAAATCTCACATGCTTCTCTTTATTTTCTTTCTACAATTCTTTAATTTTTATCTGCAGATAGATTCATTTAGGGGATTAAATTATAATGAAGACATTTTGCTTTTTTAATTTGTTGAAATGGAAGTTCTAAAAAGTGCTTCTCTTATTCTGGGTTCAGAAATCAAATTTTAGKTATTTACAATGCCTAAAATTAATTTTTGAAATTATTTTCAGAAGACCAGGGCTGTGGCTCAGTGGTAGAGTGCTTGCCTAGCACATGTGAGGCTGGGTTCAATCTTTAGCACCCCATAAAAATAAAAAATGAACAAATAAAATAAAGTTTGCTATCCATCTACAACTAAAAAAATTATTTTCAGAACCCCATTTTTCAAGGATTCCCTAGAATGGAATTTCCTTACAGACATGAGTGCTTTGGGTAGTTTTTTGTAATTATGTTGCTAAAGACCACTAATGAAGGTATCATTTGGTCCTTATATTCTTCATGGTGGTATCAGTCATTTGAAAGAACAGTGCCCTCAAAAAACAGCAGACCCAGCTGGGGCTGTAGCTCAATGGCAGAGCACTTGCCTAGCAAGTGTGAGGCACTAATTTGATCCTCGGCACCACATAAAAAAATAAGTTAATAAACAAAGATATTGTGTGTCCTTCTACAACTAAAAAAGAGCAGACCACTGTGGTCAGTTTATTCTTATATGATCAGGTTCTATAAAACTTTCTTGCAGTTCAACTATGATTTGTACCTGAACACTGTTTCAGTCTCTTATATCTTGTCACCTGCCTCTCTGATGAGGAAGTTTATTTAGCACCCAGAATGTAAATTTGAAAGTGTTCAGCCAGCTTGGATTAAGACCAAGTGTTTTGCATTTTTTTGAGGGACATTTTCTCAATCTGTGGAACTTTTTACAGAGTACACAGAATTTTCTGCTTCTGAATTGTTATATGAGAATGAACTTGTCACTGAGCAAAAGTGCATCCATTTTTCATACCAAAAGATGGCATCAGCTCTCACAGGAGAGTTTTTACTAACAAACATGATTAACCGTATCATGTTAAATAAGTATAAAACAAAGGATAATATAGAAAGTGTTACAAAGTACAGCCACATAATTACAACAGAGATTATAAATCTGTTTTTAAAATTTCAAAGTGAAAAGAACATGGGAAATGTCATATTGGGGACAGGATCAATTTTTCTATAAGAGGAGCATCCTTTCTGAAARATGAAGTAAATGGTATAGAGGCACAGTCAGAGGATTGTGCCTTAAACATTTAACAGTCTGAATGTGAGGAAAAGCAACTGGCAAATGGAAAGTTTTTTTGGCATGCTGTTTAGTTTCATGTTGATTCTGGGAAAAGGTAATGATTTGAGAATTTAAAATGCTACGAAAGTTCCAAACTTTATAGAATATTCAGTGTTCCTAGATGCTGTATTCTTGCTTTTCAGAAACTTACAGTCTAGTAGAGATAAATAAATAAATAAACAAATGCAAAAATAAAACAATTTCCAAAAGAAAAATAAATACTACAGAGAAATAAAGCAAAATGTGGATCCAGGATGGGGAGGACTCAGTGAGCCTGGAGAGCCTTGTTGAACTGAGACCTGAATGAGCTGAAGGATAAGCAGAAGAGCCAGGGTCTGGGAGCACCAGCATTCCAGGCAGATGGGACAAGTGCAAAATATACCCATTACTGTGGGAAGCAACTTTAGCATGTATGAGAAACAGAAATACAGCCATCCAACCGAAGCTTAGCGGGGGAACAGGCAGATCATGTCACTTAAGACCTCAGAGGCTCTGGTGTAGGCACTTGTGTGTATTCTCTGAGCCTGAATTTTGGGAGAGCCATCTTTGCAAGTTTATGTCAACAAAATAGCCTATTTTCTAAAACTGGGATAATGTGTGTTCATTGTAGAATTTTTAAAAGTATAGAGTATATAAATAAAATTAAAGTTACATTGAAAAACTCAGAATCCATCCTATGAGTTATAGATCCCAAAGATGACATTTTATGTTTAATAAGGAAAAAAAATAGAGTGCCTGCAAGCTAGGCGAACCTGCAACCCACGGGCGGGCGGGTCAGGCCCAGCAACCAGCCAAGTGACAGAGCAGCTACACGCGCCTGCGGGGAACGCGGACCGGACCCACTAGGACAGGTCCGGCGGCCGGCTGAGGGCCAGGCCCAGGTCCGGCGGCCG